TCTAGAGTTTGAACAGATGAAGGATTTTTTTTTAGTCATTCGGACGTCTGGTCTTAAAGTTATCAGGAACAGCTGAGTAATGTTAGCAGTCAGCTCGCTCGCAGCCCTCCTCCGGGATGTCCTTTGTCTGTCCAACAGCATGGGAGAAGCAGTGATTTTTAAGGTGGAACTGCTTAATTCAGTGTTTTTAGCGGTTTTAATCAGCGGGTCTGTTTGTTTTGGAGAGGAGGAGACCTCTGTGGATAATTGGGCTCCCAGTAGAAACCTCCTGAACCATGAACACTGAAGGAATCCTAACGGGGAGAAGCTGACTGCAATGGTGGCGTCATCCCACAGTACTTTACAACACTATCAAAAATCCTCTTTTGTTATAGTTTTGGTGTGAGACACCCCCTAGCAGCAGAAATTACATATTTCACATTAAAGGTCCAGTGTGTAGGATTTAGAAGCATCTAGTGGTAAAGTTGCAGATTGCAACCAATTGTGTTTAGGAGAAACTATAGAGGTCCATTGAAAGACCCTATCTACAATCAGTGTTGGGTTTGTCTACTCTGGGCTACTGTTGAAACATGGCGGTTCAACATGGCGGACCCTGTAAAAGAGGACCCTCAATTCAGATTCAGAGAGACAAAAAGAGACATTACAGTAATAGCAGCTGTATCTTACTCTTAATTGAAGGGGCAGGCCTCAGGCTCTTGCAGTGGAAACTATTTCTCCAGAAAGCTGGACTGTACTGGTGATGGAAAGATTAAGAGGATGAAGAAAAATGCAACACATAAATTAATAACAGAATGAGTGGACAAATAGATGGCTGTGTGTCTCTTACGTCATCAGTTGGGAAGTCGTTGTCGGCCAGTCGGAGCTCTGGGATTCTCAGAGCGAGCCATGAATTTTCTTTTATAAGGCAATCCTAAACAGTAAATAAAGAACATATTAAACATATTTACACACAGTGTATGAACAAAACATCAATAATAAAGCTGTGATTATAATGATGAGTAATAATTGCAGCTGGTGTTTTCAAGGTTTAACAGTATTTAAGCAGTGCCATAGAGTGACATTAAGAAGAAGTATTGGATTTATTGGAAGTAGAGTTGAGTAGCTGATCAATTGATTAGTTGTCAACTATTAAATTAATCACCAACTATTCTGATAATTGATTAATTATTATTATTTTTGAGTCCTTTTGAAGAACAAAATGTCCAAATTCTCTGAATTCTTCTTTTGAATTGAATGTTCCTCACTGTTTCACTTACCAACTGAGGTCAGTAGAAGTTATATAGAAATTAATCGGTCATTAAATGAAAATACAGCCGAAAAACTGTCACATAACAGTATCTATTTTACCATAGAATAAATATAAAATACAGCGCAGTATTCAGCATAACACTACACACACACACACACACACACACACACACACGTATAAATAAAGCACAACACACACACACTTACCATTTTGTTCTGTGCAATTGTCAGATCCTGTAGTACCTGGTCTATGATGCTCTCAGCCAGAGAGACGCTCAGTGTTTGTCTCAGTTCACTGGATGGATGTAAAGAAAGAACAGAGGAAATACTGGGGACTTATATGCACTATTTTTCAAGCCAACTGAGATAATACAGTGCGTGCACAATTACTAGGCAAGTAAGTATCTTATCTTATTCTTATGCATCTAATGCATGCATTCATGCATTTTCCAACTCCAAGCTATATTAACTTGAATGCTAATTGAATTAAAGCATTATCAGGTGCTGTGTATTTATGAAATGAGGGAGGGTTTGGCCTAAAGTGATGATGTGCATAATTATTAGGCAGCTTCTTTACCTCAGACAAAATGGGCCAAAAAAGAGATTTAACAGACTTAAAGGTCAAAAATTGGAAAATGTCTTTCAGAGGGATGCAGCACTCTTGAAGTAGCTATGGTATTGAGGCGTGATCACTGAAAATCAAAGGTTTTGTTTGCAAATAGTTAACAGGATTGCAAGAAACGTGGAGAAAAAAAACCACAAATTAACTGCTAAAGACTTGAGAAGAATTAAACCTGAAGCTACCAGGAACTCATTAACCTCCAATGCTGCCATATTCCAGAAATGAAACCTACCTGGAGTGGAGAAGTACAAGGTGCTCGGTGCTCAGAGACATGGCCCAGGTAAGGAAGGCTGAAACACTACCACCACTGAACAAGACCCATATGTTGAAACGTCAAGACTGGGCCAAGAGATATCTGAAGACAGATGATTTTAAGGATTTTATGGACTGATGAGATGAGAGTGACTCTTGATGGACCAGATGGATGGGCCCGTGGCTGGATCAGTAACGGACACAGAGCTCCACTTCGACTCAGACGCCAGCAAGGTGGAGGTGGGGTACTGGTATGGGCTGGTATTATTAAGGATGAGCTAGTTGGACCTTTTCGGGTTGAAGATGGCCTTAAAATCAACTCCCAAACCTACTGCCAGTTTTTAGAAGACACTTTCTTCAAGCAGTGGTACAGGAAAAAGTCTGCATCTTTCAAGAAGACCATGATTTTGCATTTAAGGCCCTGTCTCAGGATATTGTTTTTTTGCAGGAGACCTATATCCAACCTTCAGAGCAGAGGCGTTTAGGATCTGTTTGGGTGTCTCATGTGTACCAGTCCACCTTTTCCTCCAAGGCGAGGGGGGTTGCCATACATGTTTGCAGACCCATTCCATTTGTATTCAAAACGCAGACTACCGGAGGTAGTGGGAGGTTCATACTTCACGGGTACAGTCAACTCAGTCCCTTTAGTTCTCTTAAACATTTACGACCCCAATTTCGATAGCCCCGATTTTTTCTGTAATATATTCAACCTTGTCACAGAATATAAAGATCATAATATAATTATCGGCGGTGACTTTAATTGTTATTTTGATCCGCTATTGCATCGGTCCTCCTCGCCTGCGGCCCCATTATTAAAATCTGTCTCTGTACTCAATAACCTTACCAAATCTCTGGACCTGGTTGACATTTGTAGGCACCAGCACCCCTTAGAAAGACAATATTCTTTTTTTCTCCCCCGTGCATGGCAGTTTCACTAGAACTGATTATATGCTGGTTGACTCTAGACTTATTTCAAATGTAATAAGTTCAACTTACCATAGTATCTTAATTTGTGACCATGCACCCCTCTCATTGGTGATTGACTTCAAACTTTATGCCCCTCAATATAATTGGAAATTTAACCCCTCTCTATATTTAGATGACACAATCAGTGGCTACATATCAACCAAGATTGCAGATTTTCTGCTCATTAATGACAATGGCGCTGTCTCAGATTCTACTTTGTGGGAGTCCTTTAAAGTCGTTATAAGAGTACACATCATCTCGTATCACTCGCAAAAGGGCCAGGAGTTGCACTGATATTGAGGCTGAACTAGCTGGAACTGGAGGAGGATTATCGAAACACAGGTTCTAAAGACACACTTTTTTTAGCTTTTACAGCCAGCTATATACTACCAGATCTACTGCCACAGATACAGACATTGCCAATTTTCTCCATACTTTAGACATTACAGTCCTGAGCCTGCAAGACTGGAATTGGACTCTGACGTTACACTGGAGGAGATCAGAAATGCCATTCGTTCTTTTCCCAGCGGCAAAGCATGCGGTTCAGATGGATTTGGGATAGAATTTTACAAGACGCACATTGACGTTATCGCCCCCCTCTTGCTTCGGATGGTCAATTGCTAAGTGAAAAATGGTACCTTAAATGGAAACTTCTCCCCTTTTCATTGATTGGCCGTGTCAACATTGTTAAAATGGTTGTGCTCCCTAAATTTCTATCTATTTCAGAATGTGCCCATCTTCCTCACCTCTCTGAAGTCTTTATTTGTAAATTTCGAGTTGTTAATTAGTTATTCTCACTCTAATAAATGAAAATAAACAAGTGAAATGGGAAATTTTATGTTTTTTATTTAGTTGCCTAATAATTGTGCACACATAGATATTCTCCTGAGAAAGCCAAAACTCACTTTTCCTTTGTTTAATACTCAGGTTTGAGGTTTATTAACATGTTGGATTGACTGAGAGCACTGTATTTGTTCAAAAATAAAATGAATTCACAGGAATACAACTTGCCTAATAATTGTGTACGCAGTGTAGAATGCCTATATTCTGTCCCTTATTTTGGAAAAACATGATAGTTGCAGAGGAAAAAAGTCATCCTGTAGAGCCCACATCCTATTTTGTATCTAATTGTTCTCCAACAACTCATCATTCTGAAAACCAGAACACCACAAATGTTGAGGATGACTCATTTTCATTCCTCCCACCTAAAAAAAGGTAAAAATAGTGGAGGTTGAGTGGAGTAGTGAGGTCCTCATAAAAAAGATAGTTGGCTAGCTAGGTGATACATCTGAATGAAACATGACACACACAAGACAACAACCCTCCATGAAAATGTAATAGAACTTTTGTTCAATTGATTGACTGAAAGGAAATGACACAAGTCATTGTTTTGCAAGTCCGGAGTCAAGTCCCAAGCTTTGAGTTCTGAATCCTAATTAAGTCATAATCTGACTATGGTGTAGGTTTTGTACACGTAAAAATTGATCTTTGGTATCATTTGTTCTAGCAGGCAATTCATACATACACACAGCTCCACCTTCCAAACGTGTAGGAGAAACTACTGTGGCCGAAAAACACAAAAAGCCCTATCATTGTAGTTTCCTGCACAAAACGTTTAGCCATACCTTACTCTCAACAGTGGTGAATGGTAAATGGACCTTTACAGCGCCTTTCTAGTTCTAAAAAGCTTTTACACTACACGCCATGCCACTCAGTGATGGCAAAGTTCTTCATATACATTCTGACGTTACCGATTCGGCCACAGCATCGGGGCAGCTATTTCGGGTGTCAGTATCTTTGCTCAAGGAGACTTCTGACCATGTGTGGTCGGGAAGGTAGACGGGGGATCGAACCAACTAACCTCTCCAATTAAGTGGATCGATTCCTCGGAGGCCACAGCCGCCCTCCTATGCAATTTTATTCTCTCTGGAAGAAGTGGCCCTCAATGTTTAAACAATTTATACCTAAAAATCTAATATATTATTGCAATGTATTCACTTTTGCAACATGCATGCACAATTCTTTTAGAAAAGCATGCTGCAAAATCATAAGCATTTTTAGACACAAATATTCCCCCCAAAAAGCCCCACAAAAGTCCTGAGTGGACTGATGATCAATTGTACCATTGAAGAAGTCAATGTATATAGTCAATTTGGTTCTACCCGCAGTTCTGTTGTGATGAACTGCCCTGTGTTCCCACGCAGAGTAGTTCTTAGGAATCGAGTATCTGCTGCATTCCTTATTGGACAACACAACCTGACTGACACTCGCCTCACACACTGGTTGCTGGACCAACGCGTGTGGACATTGTGCTGCCTCCTGGCATACCCCATCCAGCCTGAGCAACCAGTTCCTGGAAACCACAGAGTGACGGGCTTGAGCACGGCAATTAAAGTCCACTCCCCAACGCCAAGCGTTGAACTTGGATCTGACCAGTCCCACTGAATAAATGTTTTGGTCTGAATACTGTTATGTAAGTTATTTAATCCCAGCTGGTTGCAGTGTAGCTTTGCTGACCGTTATCGGTGTCTACATTGATAAGCAGGATGATGCCAGATATAACTTTTTACAGCTTCCTTCTAAAGGGGGACAATTCTTTAATGTTACATCCTGCGCTGTCAGAGCAATAGAGCCACGTCGCGTATTATAGATAGATGCACTTCCTTCTGCATTTGGATGATACGCAGAAGAAAATCTTAAATATTGCGTTGAGTATGCTGGATCAATGATTTCTGCTTGTGTGAGTTTTGTCTAATGTATTATATTTTGGTGCTTGAGCACCAAAGCTAGTACCATTACCTGGTTGTACGATTATATCCGAGAGGAGAAGGCAGACATCTCTATCGATTCCCAAACTCCAACACTCTCACAGCTAAAACAATCATATGATATAATACGGGCACCTATAGGATAAGAGCATTGATGATATCTGACTGTGTCTCTTCAAAGCGTAATCTTGAATCATGAAAACCAAACACCAACCCACGCGGTTGCTGAAATAGTGTGACTATTTGTCAGTGTTTGATAGCAAATATAGGGGAAACACAATGGTTGTTCTACCTATGACACTAATTAAGGTTCGTTCCATTTAGTGGTAGCAGACGCCTTTCAAGTAGCTAAGGTCATACAACAGCATGCCACCCTGACTCTGGTTTGACCTGAACCGGCAGCAACTTTATGAGTAACATGGAAAGCCTGTGTTTACCCTACTACTGTTCTCATGTCAAATGGCTGTTGGAAAAAGGTCTGTGTGCTGCAACATTTAAACATTTCAATTTCAATTTTCAACTTCAATTTTATATTTGTATAGGCCAAGATGTCATAACAGAGTTATCTCAGGGACATCTTTTCAAATAAGCAGGTTAGACCGAACTCAAACTTTAACTATTTACAGAGACCCAGCCAACAGTACTAGACCCATGGAGCAAGACCTTTGGAGACCAAGGGGCAAACGGAAGAAACCTTGCCTTTTAGTAAGAAGAGAAGGAGAGATGAGACGAGAGAGACAGACAGACAGCAACAACAGTAGCAGAAACGTGAGTTTAATTTCAAACTACCAACTTTCTTTGGGGGTATGTTGGTGACGTTCACTTGTAATCTTGCTGTCATGATGTACTGTTACATTTCAGTAGCCTAGCTTTAATCTGAATTGAATTAACCTTTAAGTCACTGGGGAATTAAAGAAACATTATCTGCGGTGAGTGAAAATCTGTTAATTTGACACCTTTTTTGGTAAATCTGTGGCTATGTAACCCTCCATACCCTTCAGAAATACAAAAACATTTAAAAAGTGTTAAACGTTTACCTGTATGCTTCTGTTAAACTCATTAGTCAATGCAGTAGCAGTATCAGCGAGGATGCAGTTCACCAGGTCTCCATCAGAGGCACACTTCCTCCCTGCCTCATACAGAGAGGGAAGAAACTGCACAGGGAGAGACAACAAAAACATTAGTGGCATAAAGCATCATTTACACTACCTGGTATACCTAATGCAATCCAGTACAACAACTGTGCCACCTATTCTACCTTAAAGAAACTTATAATGGCCACTTTTTTGTTCAAACTTTCGGAGATATGTTAACTGCTTGTTTACACATCAGCGTTCACGTTGTGCAAACTGCACATGGAGGGCAGGAAGTGATTTCCTACATTAGAAGCACAATCACAAACTCTCAAAATGCCTGTTTTGCTCAAATTGATCAAACCGAGAATCTATGAGGAGCTTTTATCAAGTACAAAAAGTTGTTGTTCATAGGGGGCGAAATGCAAGAAATTAAACTATACTACTACTATGCACTATACACTATATTTTCACCATTTTACCTTCCCGTCAGACCCTTTCCAATGGGGAACTAAAGCTGTTATATCCACCTATGCTCTCTCTAAAGCCACCAAACTCCTTTAAAAAAAACAAAAAATTGTTTGGTTTCTGGTCTACGGCTGCCTCGATGTGCAGCAACTTGCAGCAACTGACGTTAGTTCAGATCCAAATGAACGTGTTAAAACACCAAACTCACACAATAACAAACAAATTAACCATGCAAGGCAGCAGTGAACCAGCAACTCCTGTGTCCTGTGAGGTAAAATTTCAGTTTCTATCAAAGTCTGGTGACATTGAAAAGAGCGCTATAATGATTTCAGTTCCCCACTGGACAGGGCAAGTCTTTCAGTTCAGTTGAAAAATTGCTCCTCTTCATAACATAATAATCAGAAGAATCAGTTAATCCTTCTGTGACAATTAAAACAGTGATTATTTTGGCCCATAATGACGTAACACAGTGGTTTTCCAGAACCTGTGAGCAGCCTGTACCTTGAAGGACTCCCTGGCATTGTGCAGCACCTCGTGCGCTGTCTGAATGTCGGCCTGGACCTCCTGAACATTGCAGTGGTTTAAACGTTTAAGGCTGTCCTCCAGCTGCTGATACAAACCCTGGACCATCTAGAATGCAGGAGAACGGAGACAGACAGAGCTGAGGGTACAGATCTAGACAGAAACTGTCATGACGGTTCCGTTTGATTGATTGATCACATACTTATGCACCACACCTCTGCCAGTATTTTAAAGATTTGTTGTTGGAACCTGTATTTTATTTGAAGTTGACACAGACCCTGATACACAAACCTTAACTGACATGATAATTCCAGTTACTAATAAACTTATAGATAAGTTCCTGCAGGCCATTCATACATGCAATGAACAGTCCATTTCAGTACTGTTGGTCATTTTTACACCTGCTGCTTGTGCAAGAGTGTCCTCCACTCCACCCTCTACCTGCTTCGGTTCTGTATGTGTGCAGCTTTAGCTCATTCATTTCCAATGGCGGCGCGTGTGCAGTGTTCCCTACGTAGCATCCATAATGTTCCACTTTACGCCATACTATAATGTACAGTAATCCCACAGCAATAAAACATGTTAAAAAACCATGTTGCCAAACTGAAAATGCAAATTTCAAAGCCAAACTGATTTTTAAGGGGCGGAGGCTACGAGCGGGATTTGTGACATCACAAATAGTTTGGAAGTCAGTCGTGATCCAGTATGGAACTTGTACAGTGTGATGTATAAACTTGAAGCCACCAGTGCACAACCACTGAGAATGGACTTTAAAGTGAAGTAGGAGACATCTTGTGTCCAGCATTTGCATATTCAGAGATTCTGGAATTCTTAATGAGGTAGAAGGAGGAGATAACTGCAAATTATACTTTTTTTTGTGAAAAAAAGGACATCAGACATACATTATTGTTTTTCCAAGCAGACTATTTGTATTTATGTCTTAATACATCTCTGGAGGGGATCTTTAAGTCATATCTAGTTGTTACAATATTTAATATTTGGAGAAAATGTCTGCTTCTGACTGTCCCAATTAAAATATATTGGTATTTTAACACATTTATCCTTTATTATACTATATTAGGGTTAATCAGAAGTATTTTCACTCTTGTTGTTAACTGACAACTACATATGCTATATGTCTATTCTATTCTACATCTTACCTTTTCAGATTGTTGAGCTTTAAACACTTGCTGCAGCTCCACTCTGTCAGACTGTCTCTGGTTGTTTCTGTCTAAACACTGCTGGATCTGCACAAACACACACACACACACACACACACACATTGACTGACTGGTTGTGTCACACACGTAAGTTAATAACATGGCAGTTGAACCTGCATCCCTCACCACCACAGTGGCTTGATATATCTGCTCTGCTGCTCTACTCTACCTGCAGGTCTCCCCCAACAACCTGAACATACTCTCAGTGAGATACATAAATAGTAACAAAAAGCCTGTTTCAAAGCCTAGCACAGTCATTGATAGGCAATGTCCCAGGATGAAATTGTAAAAAACTTCCCTAGCAAAATGCTTACATGCAAACTCATTAAGACAGAAAGATGGCATGCTATAGAAAACAAGATGTGAGAAATAGCAAATGCATGGTATATACAGTACATCAGTCCGTTTTTTTAATTATATTTTCCATATTAGTCACATTTTCCAACACACTCATAAAGTGCTAAATGTACACGCTGACCTTGTGCAGGGCCTCTCTTGTTCTGTCAGGGTTGCTGCGGTAACTCTGTGTGATATCAGCCAGGGGGAGAGACACCTGCTGCAGAGTGAAGTTCCTGCACAACATAGATCATCATTACATCCAACCATCAAATTCACATCTACACAGAGTTACAGGTTAATGCATGCTGCGCAGTACATTTCACTTCAGAAACTGACGTTGTGTTGGGTTGTAAAACTATTTGGATGTTCAAACGCTCCTGTCACCCTCAGGACAAACTGTAACAATTTTGATGATCCTTTGGGTCTTTATTCAGTGCTATCAATCTGTCCAATATTTATCACCAAATACTAAACTAATGACATTTCCATCAGTGGTGACCCTTTTGTTCACCCCTTATGTTCTAAATGTGTTCATCGCTATTTTTTAATAGGCTTTTATTTAAAGGTCCAGTGTGAAACAATTAGGAGGATCTATTG